TAAAACCCAGTAAGTTCGTAAAATGCAAGATTCAGAAAAAGAATATCTTGAAGTTAGGACTCAGAAGTAGCGAGAGTAGGGACTTCATAGCAAATAAGACAATATAAAACTAGCAATTCGAATATTCGTGTCCGATCACATTGCTTACTTGAGGATCCAGTGAAGTGATAGAATGCGCTTACTGAGTTAACAACTTGGAAGCAGTGACAGAACAAACTCTAAATTCAAGTTTTTCGGGCAGTCAGGCCTTCGAGTCCAATGTTTCCGAGGCCTGTATGGATAGAATTGGTGATCCACAAGACACCTTTAGTTTGCTCAACAAAACATTAGTAGTCTTAAGTATAAAACTTTTGAGCTCACCTTCATGAGGGATGAATTAAGTTCCGATGCAGTTATTTTCAAAGAAACGTGACTCACTCCAATCACTGCAGAACACATCTGCATTAGAGGTAATAGGGTTAAAGATCACTGGAGATAAGGCGTAATATTGTATGTTAGAGATCACTTTCATATGCTATCGAACGCACCAGAGGGGCATGATAATGATTGTCAGGTAGCTTGTCGAACAATTAAATCCAGAGGTAGGTTAGTGACCATAGGAGTAATATACCATAATCCACAGTAACGTGCTGACGACTTTATCCTTAAGTTAAAACATTACTTAGTGTAAAGCTTACTGTCGTCTTACCGTTGGATATTTCAACACCCTGAGAATTGATCAAACAGAGCTTACAACTTCAAGTGTATATTTTGTTGATTGCCCGCTGTCGACCATTATCCACTATGCACTTATGCAATGTATCAGAAAGTCAACACGAGTTGGCTTGTACTATGAACTATCATTTCTAGATCTTGTCGTAACACACCACTGTGATGATGTCATCGATATCTAATACCTACGCTCACTAGTAAACAATTATCACAATATTCTGTACGTTAGGTTTTGGACACGACATACAGTATGCATCAGCCCCACTCCGTCCAAATATCTGATGGGCTAACTTTCTGGTAATCAAAAACTGTGCTAATTCAACAGACTGGTCGATCAATGAAGACAGATCGGTCGAAGACGAACTGGATAGGCTTAAAGCCACATTAGAGAGCAGCATTGTCGTTCACTTCATGGTGAACATACTGGCCTGCAACAATTGATTGGGAAGGTCGATAGCTGTTGCGGCAAAGGAAACATTATTGGGATTTGTTCTCATTAATGAGACACGAATACTGAAAAGCCCAGAGTGTACTTAAGAAGAACATAGCCAGGTGCCGCATCATTTACGAAATACAGTTGGCAAATAATGGCAATCTCGAGCCCGAAAGATTATCTTCGTACATTGAACGATGAAGAAACGTGGTGAGAGAATCCCATCATTATTGTGGCACGAAAATCCGGATGCACCGTACAAATCAGATTTCACCAAAGTCGTGAGTGTATCAAACTATTTCAGTGAGCACTAATCAATGGGTATTGTCAACTTCACTTTCTATTACAGTACCACTGGTGAACCTAAGTGAAACCTCACGTAGAGTATTATATTCCAGCAGCCGGTCTACGACTTACAAAAGACCATATTACACTTAAAAATTCAGAATTGACTGATCACTGGGTGATGATCAATGTCATGTGTGTCAGGTGGTTCTTAGTGCAGATCGAACGTTAACGACCAAGTTGCAATGTGGCCACTAGTCTAGGTGACTCGACATTGTGTGCACTATGTTGAGATAAGATGGTGGTCGGGGATAGTCAACAGGAAACCCTGGAACCGAGTGTTGAGCGAACTTCGTGACAGGTCTTTCCAACTCACCCTACGATTAGAGCTAAAAAGGTTTAAACCTATTTCCCATGTCGTAGCATGCGAAGTCACTTGCCTTTTCGCCTGCTTCATATCCATTCATCTCTGGGGCTACAGTAAGAGGGTTCTAGAAAGTAAGTGTAAGGACCCCGTTTTTCTTACGAATTGGTCAGAGAATGGAATATCGTACCTAAACGAGTGGCATCAGCCCAATCAGTGAGTGCATACAAGAAGAAGCTAAGTTTCCGGTAGAGAACGATTCGCAGAGACTGGCACGATTTCACTAATCCACTGTTTTTATTACTGAAGAGTAAGTATTGAATTGACATATTTGTTATAACGATTCAGTTGTATGAACTCTTTTGCTGTCGTCTTTGAAGTTTGATCTAAGTTTCTGAGTTCATTGCCGTTTTTCTATGAGTCTTGAAGTCTTCCATAAAAACTCCTGCATACCACAAAGAGTTTGTATTTGATGAGACCTCAGAATTTTCTGGAGTGTCTTGATCACCAAATCAACCGGTAATGAATAAAGTTGATTTTAAATATGTTTAGTTAATGAGTTACTAAAACTCCATTCTTTTGTAATCACAAGAGACCGGAGTTATTTTTTAATGTAATCAAAAGATGTAGTATGTAGTTCCAAATACAATTTTTATTTTGTGATCACTGTTGTGAAAGGGTGTTTTCTATATATATACCCCAATTTCATTATCTTGGAGAAATTTTAAGATTCCCCCCAAAGTTGTAAGAGATATAATAGCTTTCCTCAGAACTAAAGAAATTTTGAGGTTGTTGTGCCACTCACTCGAACCGGAAAAATTTTCCCCCAATATAGGGAAGTTAGGATATACATATATATATATATATTTTTGCTAGAGTGCGTTTAATGTGTTGCTGGGACTAGAAACAGATATATTTCCCAAAACAATCAACACGATTCCTGACTATTCGTAGCTGAATTTAAGATGCCTAACCGCTTACAGTGGGGAACAACGTTTGATCTGCAGAAAGAAATATGGGTTGACCCATATTGACGCACTATCCTTTCGACGAAATAGCTTCCCTAACAATCTAGTTACGACGTACTAATGCAGTACTAGACTTGAAATAGAGAACATTTTACATTACGTTTCACTCAAACAAACATACAAATGCTGATGTTATTCACTGATTCCTAGTACATAGAAGTTTCGACATAATTTCATGCAACACTGAACTCACGAACATGAAATTTATTTGCAGCAGTAATTTTGGCTAAAACGCAGAAGATGTCTTAGAGGCGCTAGCAGAATCAAATAATGTAAGTAAACAAATAAAACGTAGAAACACTTTTTTTACTTATTCGAAACGTTGAGTGTGTTCGTCAGTTAATAGTCCTAAAATGAACGATATGAATCAACTTTGTATGAGGAAATGCCTAGAGGCACCGTCTAAACATTAAGTGCAAGTGTATATCCTGATGTATACACCGATGTATGTATTCTTAGTAGTTGTTTATCATGTCTATTTTTTACCCACAATTTATATCTAATTGATATATTAAGATCTTGCAGATTGTCTCCATCTTTTGCTCAATGGGTTTCGATTTGACATTTCCTGTGTGTGATTTGTATCGACAGTTGCTTAAAAAAGGCTAATACTGATATGTTCATATCAAACGACACCATAACACTGGTCTCAACATTCAAAATCTTATACAGATGAAACAAAGCCATTGAGTTTCAAACTTTTCTTTTATCTTAGTCAATACGGTGAGACAGGTGCACTTGTTATTCAGATTAACTTAATCTTGTTCCCATTTTGCATTTCAATAATGATGATTTTCCTACTTCTCAAAGATGTTGGTCCTCTTCTTTAAAGTTACCGTTCTTTATACACCACGACGGTATTTAGACACATTATGTTTTTTAACATGATTGCATTTATCTGCCGTTTTGTTCATTAATTTCTCCCACAGTTACAAAGAATTTGTCAAACGTGTTGAAGTGTAATGTAAAGTTTAAACGTCAGGTTGTTTGTTTAAGATATATGTATTGTAATTTTTGGACGATAAGTCATTCAGTATTCCTAATAACGACTCCTGTAATTTAAAGTTAGGTCTAAAGGTATGACAGGTATTTGAAGCTTTTCAACACCTCCATATGTAACACCTTTTTAATTGAAGGATACCAGTCCAGTTGAGCCAGAAGTTAGAAATAAAAGTGTTCATAGACATTCTTAGAAAGCCAATGAAATGTCGAGAAGTGTTTGGTTTAAGCTGAATAGTATTTGTGAAGGATGTGTAACTCAAAGTACCCGCTCGTGATTTGTTGCAAGTGCGCGACCAAGCGCCTTCAGCTGTGATATGTTCAGTAAAACTAATTGGGTCAGCATCAATGTCAAAGAATTACAGAACTATTTATTTTAAGAATTTATCTGCTACCATAAGCCTTGACTGTCTGTAACAACGAAATTTATTTATCATTAGTCAAAGTTCTTTCAAGAGATTCAGCAGGAAAGTCTTGGCTGATATCCATCTTTCGCTAATCTGTCATAGAACAACGTCTGAACAGGTAGTTTTTCTATCCTTAACAAAATAATAAGCCTTAAGTATTCAGTCTGCCATAATGATGTGGAACAGGTAATAAGTACAGTAAAAAGTGGAAGCTAGGGAAATGTAACTATCATATACACTGATATTTAGGTACCATGTCAAGAAACATTCACAATTAACCACCACACTTACGTAACAACAAAAGTGGTAATTCTATCTGTCTGAACAATATCCGGCGTTATTTTGGTGCTATAATTTTTATTTTGTTTATAAACCAATTAGCATCATACAAACATTTATTGAGTTCATTTTATAGAAATGCAGCCAAATGTTTGCACAACTTACGATGTCTGTATTCTACTGGTTCCTCGTCGAATTCGGTGCATGCTTTATTTAAACGAACTTGGAATATGTTTTGTACCAAATCACTCTTCTTTCCCCAACAAAATGCATATTCACAAGAACCTAGTAATTGAGTGCAAGAAAGAAATCATATAAAGAAATAAGAAAAAGCAAAATACAGGCCTAAAAATAAGTTATTTCAAAACAAGAAAGGTAAAAGGTCATTTAAATGGTTGATGTTTTAGGTGTACGAAAAGAAAAAAAAATTAAAAATCCTTGAAGGAACAAGTCTTAATATACTTTTCTCATCTGATCAAAAAGCTTCCGAATGCATGAAAGCAATTGAATTTTTCTTCAAAAGTGCCCACACAAACGACGGTAAATGAGTTCAGTATTTGTCCGTTGATATTAAACAACTTGAGTGCATTTTTTGCAAAAGTTTTTTCTGTGTTAATTAATTATCTTGTGCTTTGGCTCTGCATTCGTGCTCAGATGAAAGTAATCCATACAAACATGTAGATATAAAAAGATATGTTAAAACTAAATAACCTGATAGTAAAAATGATTTACAATGGTCAGCATTTGTGGCTTTATTCTTTACACTACCATTTGAAATGCTCGACTTAATTAAACTAGTTGACTGAATTTCTAACATCTTATGTTTATAACAAGAACATAGACTACTTTTATTTATTTGCACTAGACAGACATTTAAGGCTCTCGATCATAGACTTGTTTAAAGCGCGCAAATGATCATTTTTGGAAATACAAAACAAATCATACTTTATATTTACATAAGTCAAGTTTATTCACAGTAGATGATGATAATAGATAGTTCTTATATTATGTTTTCAGCATATTCTGTTTTATAATGAAATACTTGGGTTTGTTTAAATTCGCATAATTTTCCATGAAACTGCATTCTAACGAAATTTTAATAAAAGTCTATTTTAATTCGCTTATTCATCAATTTAGCTAAACCTTATTTAGTCTTAATAAATCCTAAAAGTGGATCAGGGAATGCTCTAAATGGTTTTAACTTCGAAATTTCCCCCATTTGGAAACAAATGAATGTTCCGTATGAATTATTTTGCACAGGTAAATAATTTAACTGTATCATTTTAGATTGTTCAATTGATAAATCTATTATATCGTAATAAACAAAACGTTCAAAATACTCTATAATATTTCAGACGCTTTTTATGAAGAGAGTTCACAAAATCATTTGATAGTACTTCACTATATGTTAAATGACAGAAGAATTAGTTATAACTAAGTGAAAACCAATTAACAAAAATGAAATTCTGAAACTGCAAAATGAATGTTTCATATTAATGTACGAATACATGACCAGACTCATGTGCAACAAATTAGTATTTTCAGTAATTACTAATGCTAATACTAAATTAAGTCAATAGAATAACTTGTATGATAGTTTAACAAAAACGTGATGCTAAGATATATGATGTTACAAAATTACAACCATAGTTTTGATACTAAGACAATCAAATATTTCTTTGAAAAGCCTTAAATTTCAAATCAATTATATTATTCAAGAGACTTATCAATCGAACAGTTAGAATTAACTATTCATTTGAAATTAGAATTCCATGTGCTTATTAATATGAAGTTATTCAAATAGTAGACTGACCTTAACTGACCTGAACTTCCAGTTGAAATTTAATAATCAGCTTATACTAAAAAGTTGAAATATAGTGCAGCAGAGTCAGATCTATTTTTTATTGACTAATACTAGTAAACTATAAGCTCATATATATAGACTCCTAAAGATAATTTGAACCAAATCCCAAGCTACATTTAGAAATCACATAGTTGAATTGTGTAACAACACTTTGGCAATTTCTGTGCGGTGATTAATCAACAAATGGATATGAATTTTGTAGTGCAAGTCAACGTAAATATGGTCAGAGACTTTTAAACTACTGGATATTTCAATATTAGTACAGTGAGGGAGAAATATATGTAAGTTATGAATTTTTGACGAAATAAATGTTAATCCATAAGAATTCCTTGAACCCTATTTCCTGATTCTCGAAACTCGTTATCAGGCTGTATTCTGAACCTTGAATGGACTGATACTTCCGCTGAGAATCAAACCAGAATCACTTGGTGCTACAGCACTACAAAGTGGAGAAAATGACGCAGGGAACCACTCAGTGACTGATTATTGCAAATATCTCAGTCCTATAAAAAACCCAGAGGTAACGTCTCTGATTGCACCATTTCGTGATACGAGTGTAATTATTTAACGGACTATAATTTATTTTAAGATTTTATGGTTGGCATCACGAACTGATCTTATTTAAATAACCTCTGAATAGCATGAAGCACTGGACAGGTGTTTCGTCAGAGTACAGGACCCATCAACCGTGAATACCTATAATCCCACCGCAAATCTAACCCGGGACCTTTAGTTTTACGGCTAGCCTTGATTTTGACCGTAAATTGATTGATTACGTGATGATATCAGGGTTAACTGTTAGCATTTTTAGTCCAATATACGTAGGTTGTTTCATTATAAAGTTATGCTGGTTTTTTATTTGTTTTGTCTCATCAGTAAAATCACTTATATTAGTCTAAGTTTCAAGTTCACTGTAGTTTAACAAATAACTAATTTTTTCAGAATTATGACTAATAAAGTGTCACGTAATAGGGGATAAAAAAGCTAAATGATAAAAGCATCTGCAGAAACACAAGTATGTTTCAAGAACCCACATTACAACTATACTGTTAGTGCCATTTAAAATGACTTTCCATCAATTATTAAAATCCTCTTGAATTATACTGATAGAATTATTCCATCAACTAAGTAAAAATGATTTAATAAAAAGACATAAAAAGAAGTCATTGTATATAACAGATAGAATAATACTAATTGTTCTTTAACCAATTGACTATCTTTACTTTCATTCATTTTCCAAAGTAAGTCGTTATCATATCAAAGTTATTTCAATATTTCAATGATATTTTCAACGTAAAATGTAAAAAATAATGTTTTATTTAATTACGTCAAACTACATGATATCCTAGTGAAATCATTTTTTTGTTTAACAGAGTAAAAAAAGTATAGACAGATGCAATTTTTAATAAATTGGTATTTATGTTATCTGAACCACGACCATTAGAGTTTGGAACTGCTATATGTAGATGAAGTTTTTAAACATAATTTAGAATGATTACAAAATTGTTGAATGAGATCATTTGAACAACTTTAAACAGCTTATCTAACTGTTTATTATCTTTTAACGTATATTTTCCTTGCTCTATCCATATTTTGACTTATTCACATAATTTATCAGGTTTTCACAATATGTTATCTGAAATTCGTACTTTTCAAAATTGAACATTTTTATGCTTACTTATCTACCCTGCATACTGAGTCTATACTTTTCTTTTTTTATCTAACTTTACATAATTAAGCCTTAAAATACTATTTCTACAACTCATAATGGTAACATGTATTTCGATATTCGTCTATAAAACGATCAATACTAAGTGTTTATTCTACTAAGATAGATTAATCATTCAAAAATGATTTCTCACTTAGTTCACCGTTTACTTGGAAATTAAGACTATAGTCAAATGATTCTAATAATAAATGGATTTGTCGATTAAGTAAAAACAAAAAATAAATAGTGTCAGTTTAAGCAAAAATATCTGGATTAAATGTTGTTTGTAAAAATAAGTATTTTTGTTACAATAACTAATCTTATATATATGATTAAATCCCATTCTGACGTATAATTGAGATGTCAGGTTGATCATACATGAAGACCTTTTTAACTTACTTTCTAACCCATAAATAAAAATAAGATATTTGTAATATTGCAATGAGTAGAAAAATTAGGTTTTTTGACGTTTCGTGACTCAGTGTAAGCCACTTCTTCAGAGAACAAATAACCGAATCAAAATCAACCCAAGCTTAAATAGTACAAAGGAACAAAGCAAGAATATTAGGTACGATCAATCAAAGAACAGGTTTGAGGAAGTCATTGGTATATCATTTCGGTCAAGGTGGATTTCAAGCGACATGTATGTAAACTTGTGTTTGTGTATGTGTGCAGGGTCAGGGATAAAAAAATGTAACCTTTGTAGTGTGAAATGTGAATAATATCAGACATGGTAACTTGGATAAATAGTTCAGATCGGATGGATATCGAGGCCTTCTTTTCTGCTGAGAGCAGTAAGATTAAGTATCATATGAAAAGCTTCAGCATTCTTCCTTCTTTGTAGTTGGAAAAGCCTTTTTGTAATATTTTGATGTTTTTGATACCGCCTTGGTAGTTGTCGAAAATGATGAGAACTGCTATTGTCGACTTAATTAGGAGTTCATCCAATTCTACGGAATTACTAGGTGGTTTTTTGTGTAACTAAGATGTTCTTTGGCTCGAGTCAAGATTTCGCGAGATGACTCTCTGATATAGAAGGTATCACGATCAACAGACAGTTCTGTGTTGACATGAAGGGGATTTTTTCTTTCAAGCGAACTAACGTATTTTGAAGTGTGTTCGTTTTTTCGTAATGTATTTTAATTGTGTGTGGTTTTAGAATTCTTTGTAGTCCTTCTGTTGTACCATGGCGTTATGGTAAAACCGCAGTACCAATCCATGATATTTCATATAAATCATTAATTAGCAGTGAAATATCTTGCTTTATTACGCTTTTAATAATCTTCATGGGAGAATTATTAAATTGTAAGGTTTTAGTTACATGTTTTCGCTCTTTCTGTTTGTCCTCTTCAAATGTGATAATCTTGTTAGTACTTCTAAAGAGCTTGAACTTGAACTTCCTATCCAAGCTACTATTTCTGATACTATTCACATTTCCCACTATTATCGTAAAGACAAATTAAACTCTATCCTTTCTTACTACAAACGTTACAATTTTTCATTCCTGACCTTGCACACGTACTTACTTCTTCAATTACTTACGCTTATTACTCCCAATGGATCAAGGGCCGCCGACCAGCATTCTCCATCCCACTCTGTTCTGGGCCTTCTTTTCTAGTTTCATCCAATTCTTGTTCATTTTTATCATGTCTATCTTCGTTTCCCAGCGTAATGTGTTCTTTGGTCTTCCTCTTTTCCTTTGGCCTTGAGGATTCCATGTGAGGGCTTGTCTTGTCACTCAGTTGGATGCTTTCCTCAATGTGTGTCCTATCCACTTCCAGCGCTTCTTCCTGATTTCTTCCTCCGCTGGAATTTGGTTTGTTCTCTATCACAGTATGTTGTTGCTAATAGTGTCTGGCCAACGGATCCGAATTATTTTGCGTAGACAACTGTTAATAAGCACTTGTATCTTCTGGATGATGGCTTCTGTAGTTCTCCAAATTTCCACCCCATACAGTAGAACTGTCTTGACATTTGTATTGAAAATCCTGACCTTGATGTTGGTTGACAGATGTTTTGAGTTCCAGATATTCTTCAGTTGTAAATATGATGCTCTTACCTTGACGATCCTCACCTTCATATCTGCATCAGATCCACCGTGTTCATCAATGATGCTGCCCAGATATGTAAAGGCCTTTACATCTTCCAAATCTTCTCCGTCAATTGTGATTGGATTGTTGCTTGCTGTGTTGTATGAGAGAATCTTGCTTTTCCCTTTGTGTATATTGAGACCTACTGCTGCTGCTTTACTGGTCGTCTTCTCCTGCATTTGTTGTTGCCTGTGCGATAGAAGTGCCAGATCATCTACGAAGTCGAGATCGTCCAGCTGCATTTTAGCTATGCATTGTATCCCGTGCTCCCCTTCAGATGTTGACGTCTTCATGATCCAGTCGATCACTAGGAGAAAGAGAAATGGTGAGAGCAAGCAACATTTCCTGACACCGGTATTTACCTCGAACGAGTTTGTCAACTGTACTCTATGCACAATTTTGCAGTTTAATCCACCATAGGAATTCTGTATGATATTGACTATCTTCTGAGGCACGCGGTAGTATCGAAGAAGCTTCCATGGTGTTGTTGTGTCCACGCTGTCAAATGCTTTTTCGTAGTCAATGAAGTTGATGTAGAGTGATGAATTCCATTCAATTGATTGTTCCACAATGATCCGTAGAGTTGCGATTTGGTCTGTACACGATCTTTCCTTACGGAATCCTGACTGTTGGTCTCGAAGTTATGCATCTACGTAGTCATTTGTCCACCCTGCATACATACACAAACACAAGTTTACATACATGTCGCTTGAAATCCACCTTGACCGAAATGATATACCAATGACTTCCTCAAACCTGTTCTTTGATTGATCGTACCTAATATTCTTGCTTTGTTCCTTTGTACTATTTAAGCTTGGGTTGATTTTGATTCGGTTATTTGTTCTCTGAAGAAGTGGCTTACACTGAGTCACGAAACGTCAAAAAACCTAATTTTTCTACTCATTGCAATATTACAAATATTTTATTTTATTTATAACAACCTACACAATGCTCAATTTATTTGAAATTTTCATGTCAATCTTTGTTAATGATACGCCCAAACTCATTTCTACCACATATTTTATGATTGTAAAGTTGATGAAGTACTTAAAAGTTCTAGATTTCAGAATTAAAACTTGCTTGCAGAGTATTAAAATGGTGGATACTCCTCAAAGATATAGAAGCAAAATAAACAAATATTCAAACATTCTATAGCATAAATTTAGCTCATTTTGTCAACTATACACAATCTATATCATACTAGTGATATATTACAGTAAAGTTGTATTGTCACTAAAATAATTATGAAAGTAAATAACAAACACTCAAAGTGTATAATGAAGAATATTAAGCAATTTATAATCAAAGAATAAGTAAATGAATAAATGACAAAAAATGACAATCACGAGTAAAAAAGTCAAATTTACAGATAGTTAGTTGATCTAGGCAACACAATACGTGATCTTATTGGATAGAGATATCCAGACTACTGGGAACCTACATTATATTAATTGAGGCAAATAACAATGACATTTTATTATTCCGTTTGCATACGTTTCAGAAATATTAAACGCCGTTATGTTAACTTTCTATTGATCAGAACAAAACCTGCTAACAGATAGATGATAAACAGGTGTTACGTGATTAGAAACAAATGAAAGAAGCTCTGGACTTAGGTTGTATCACTCGTAATCGTTTAAATTTATTTAGCGTAAAAGAATAAATAAGGATGACACTGATTGCTCAGTAGTCAGAAGTCTACCAACATAATGATAAACCACCAGACAATACGTCCTTCCATAACTTATAATAACATAAACATAAACTCAGTATTATATGTATATCTTCTTTATTATGCTGAATTATGCTCGAGAAGAGTTTACACGGTAATGCATTCCTAAATGTTTAACTTATATGCCTTTCATATTAACCATAAATACGTTATTTATGCATTCATGTATTCAAATATCCATTTTGATGCCATATTTCTGCTATTTAGAATATCCAGGCCATGCAGAAAATTTTATCAGAAGTTTACCAAAAGCTAGTCTTTTACGTTATCGAGCAATAGTTACGTGTTCAGGTGATGGACTAGTGTATGAAGTAATTAACGGATTCATAACAAGAAAAAATTATGATGATGCCATTGATGAGCATACAATACCTGTTGGAATTCTACCAGGAGGTAGTGCTAATTCAACTGCTGCTTCAATTTGTTATCATTCTGGGTAATTAAATATTTAACAATGCAAACAAGTTAGATATGCTATTTATTAGAATAGGTTTTTGTTTTGAAGCACAGCAGAACATAACTGTGCACAAACTATAAAGCAGATGAATTAACCCAGATGAATATCCAGTTACTTAGTAATGTATTTCATAAACAAATGTGTTTGTTAAATTAGTTAACATAAACCAAACATAAATATAACATTACAATTTAGTCATTTATTCACCAGTCTATGTGATAAAGTTTTGTTAGGTTGACTGACTAGTTTGTATTACGTAATAACTAATGACCATAAAATATCATGATCAGTTCATGCATTTGCTTGACTAGTGGTTTCTTGATTTATCGAATAATTGATAGTCATTTCTTATACCCAAATCCATTCTCAGTCTGTGGTCACAAAAAAGGGCAAATCGATAAAAGACGAAAATGATCTGTAATTATAGTGGCTTTTAAAGCGGTATTGAATTTTTATCACTGAGACTCCTGTGAGTCTTTGTTTCACTAATACATACATTTAATGATTAAAAGCCTTTTTGTGACTTTTGAAATTTGATAGGCAAGGGGACAGTTAATAAATCAGAAGATCATTGCGTTTATCATTACCGACATTCCTATTCAAAAGAATTTCCCCTATAATTTATTATTCAAATGTTCACTTCACTCACGTAGACAAAAAGATAGTGACTGTGTATTGGATTGTGGTAACAAACAAAAGTTGAAATAATTTTTGAAACAAGTTCTTTTCGTATTAATTAAGAGATAGTTTGGTCTACTTTTCAAGTGATGACAATTGTGATTAAACGAGTTACAAACTAGTATTCAACTATTTTTTTAGAAGTCTTTGGTTCACTTGATTCTTATAAAGACCTACCGTCACTTACCAATAAAAAAACGTCAAACGTTTCTGCACAGAGATGTTATATATTTATAAGTTTTTTCACTAAATGACACTTGTTGAGAAACCATCGAAATTCATCCATATTGATACAGTACACTAGACGAGACTTGAAAGTTACAGGTTTACTCCTACTGAATAACGTATCTTTGGTCTGTCGAAAAGTCCCAAATGTGGACAAGAATAATAACCTCCTAAGTTTCTTAAGTTGATGTTAGTTTGCAGTGAAAGTCACATGTAAACGTTGCAACTATCAAATTATGCATAGATCAGTCCCCTAACGGAAAATATCATCATTTAATATTAGTGATAAAATACTTAATGCAAACCTTATGCTTTCCTTTATTTAGTTTATTGGGCAAATCATCACTTTTATCACACTGTGGCTTTCTGTTAACATTACCAATTGAAAATTTACAAAATAGTCAATCTAAACAAGTTAATGAGCAAAGTGAAAATTACAATTTTACTTTACCACTTTTACCGTGTATCAGTCCGATGAGTGGTATACACTTTGGAACATGTGACAGAAATTTTCATCGATACGGTATTCAAAGTATTGAATGGGGTTTCGTCGCTGATTTGGACTACAAAAGTGAACGATTTCGTTGGATGGGTGAAAAAAGATTTCTACTTTATGCATGTTACTACCTCATGAGTAAGCGTTTAGTTTCCTTTACCATATGAATCAAAACCGTTCCTTGTTGATCTTTTTAAACAAACGAATTATGTTAAACCCTTCAGACGTCAAGGGAATATAATAATATATGACTGCATTTAGTTCAATATGACATCCAGTCAAAACAACATCATCCTATTCGAGTCTTCAGTTATTTCAATTATAAACGTGACCGAAAGACATTTATCTAAAAAAGCGAAGCATTAAAAAAGCTGCATGTAAAACATTTGAAAAAACTAGGTACTACGTTTTTAGTGAGATTCGGATTTAACTAGTCTCAAGCCTGTTTTTACAATGTGCAAAACCGAAAATATTTTAGATCTAATAGACTTCGTAAGGACTCAGTCTTCACTCTGTTGACACAGACTATGTCAATATATTTAGTTGCCTATTTTTATGCCCCACTCTAACAAAGCAGTGAGACTTGGTAATTTCTACAGAAAAGGATGTTAGTGCATTTCATGATGTTTGTCTTCTGCTGGTGATAAAGCAAAGTTCATTGAAAGTTTTCAATCTATAAAGTCTACTAGATTTTATAATAATCAAAATGAAAGAGGAAGGTTTCAGAAGAAAATACTATCGTTTCCAAACTTCAGATTGACTATCCATTCAACTGATGATGACAATGATGGTTTTAAGGAAGCGAACTAAACTTATGTTAATACGTAAAAAGGATAAAACGTCTGGAATTTTTAAACAAGTCAATCAACGACAGAATTTCTTTCCGTAATGAAGCTCAAAGAGGGTCACGTATTCACTTGAAATTTGACTACAGAAAGTTGAAGATTTTACTTTGTTGAGCGTTTCACCCATTCTGGATATCTCAATTTTGAGGTTGGTGTTAAAGTTATATAATTTTTATGATTGAAGCTACGAAAAGATTAGGTTAAAATGAAACTTTGATAGATGAAGAAAACACATTCGTAGGACTAGTATTGTCTTGCTGTAGTCTAGGAGATATTATAATTGAAATCCAGTTTAAATAGTACACATTAAATCGTAAACAATTCATATTTTACTTTGCGTTATTGTTTTAAGTATTGACCTCACATCCTTATGAACTAGGTCTGTGTATAGTGCGTACTCTCAAAAGCGAAACAACGCTAGTCCAGTGACCGAGTAGAAAACAGTCCCAGGCAAACCGTGTTCGATGTAGAAGTCATAAAACATTCTATCTATGAATTCATGAAGGACAACTCGACTTTACTTAGCGAACGACAATTTACTCCGATGGCATCTGAATAGTCAAGTTGTACTTTATTCGACAAAACGTTGTTAACATTCGATCAGATTGTAAATCTATGCAAAAAACGTTTCACCATTCTTTTTATTTTTGTCCTACTAAATTATCATTAGATTTGAATAATAAAATCAACCGATAATCTTTATACTTATAAATGTATAATATCCTTTTTGCCAACTAGAGAAACCAACATATCGTGCTAAATTATCATACTTACCGTTTGATAATGCACTATACCAAAAAAACAAATATAAAAATGATGAACTGGTTCAAAAATCTTCTGTACCATCAACGGTAAGCCAAATTACTCACTTGACTAGTTCTCACTTAAGTTATCTTTGTCATAAATTGTTATAACACCTAAAATAAAACTATTATAGTGAACAAAAACACGAGTGGAGAGAACCGAATGTATTTGACACGAAATTACAGAGCAACTCACTAAAATCTGAGATTCATATAGTAAATAGTTAATTTACAAAATATCAATCCATCGTCTCAAACTTGACTGTTCCTTATGCGAATATCAGTCCATTGTCTCAGATTTCCTTGTTCATGCATTTTCATACCAACTGCGTTCCATTTTCATTCTTTCCTTCTCGACCTTCTACTGAAATACATTCTATGCCTGACCACCGTTCTATGCTACTTATGTGAGTATAAGTAACCCACACCACGCTATTAGTGAATTAGCGTTGAACATAACTATTCTCTATCGATAATAATTATTCTATATTTTGGATAAAAAAATTAATTATGATTAAATATTTCATAAGAAAATAAGAAAACGGTTAATATGGATGTTGTTTTTCTTTTATTTCTAAACATGTAACAACAACTAGTCAAAATGAAAAAAAGATACCAATCTAATTTAAATAAATCATTAAATGAAGATAGAGAGATAAAATGTTCTTTCATAAATGATTATAAGTTAATAAATAAACTCTTGAAAATATGAATAGTTGAATATACATTTACATTTTTGACCACTTGATGTTGTTTTACTTGTATCTTCCCACTGTTATTTAGCATTGTAATTGACCAGTCTCTTGTTGGTGTATGTGCAACCTATGTGGACTGCCTCGATATGGACTTAAGTCATAAACTTTTTAAGCAAAGATGGATAGTGACTAGTATTGAGACCCAGTTTTACTCGAGTTTTGTCCTATTTAGAATTCGCCAGTTACATCCAGTTGATGAGTCTGAAATAGGACAAAACGCACGTCCTAGATCCCACTGCTAGCCACTATCCATCTTTGCGTAAATATACATTTTTTGTGAAAGTTTAATTAATGAATATAAAGTGACTGAGGCTATGATTGTCAGAAGAATAGATAAAATTTTATGATAAATTATTCTATATATAAATACAGTTATCTCAAGGCGCTCAAATTCAAAGTTAATTGAATACAGAAAATAAATCCTAACACCCTGTTTAGAAGCTAGGGTGATAGTTAGTGCTCGAACTTAAAGGATATGATACGTTTAGACTGATATCATGTTTGAATCAATGTTAGACCACCATCGAAAACCTAGAAGCAGTGGACGGCCGTTTCGTCATAATATAAGACTCATCACCAGTACGCATCCACGACCCGCATGTGGGGGTCGAACCCAGCACCTTCGGTTTCACGCATAAACGCTTAATCTCTAGAACACAGAGCCGGTATTCAATGGTGTTAATATCGCGACCATTCACCGATGTCTTCAGAGAATGCTGCCTCTCAGCAGACACGGTTGAATTCCACTGGTCATGGCTTCCACTAGAACTCCAGGAAATCCATCTTGAAGCCAATTACTAATGATCACATGATAATTATCAATATTGCCATTAGACAAATCAAGAGTGAGAAAACAACAGAACCTAGAAACATACCAGCTCAAGCACTAAAGTCAGATATAGAGGTAACTACAAACGTGCTCCATGTTCTATTCAGGAAGATTTGGAGAGAGGAACAAGTGCCGATAAACTGGAAGGAAGGACACCTCATCAAGATACCAAAGAAAGGAGGCCTGAGCAAATGTGAGAACCACAGAGGCATCACACCACTTCCAGTACCAGGAAAGGTTTTCAACAGTATTGCTGAATCGGATGGAAGATTCAGTAGATGCCCAAATTCGTGATCAGCAATCTGGATTCTGTAAGGATCGGTCGTGCACAGACCAAATCGTGACACATGGGATCATCGTTGAACAATCAGTTGAATGGAACTCGTCACTATATATCAAATTCCTTAATTATGAGAAAGCGTTTAACAGTGTGGATAGGTGAACATTATGGAACCTTCTTCGACACTATGGAGTGCCTGAGAAAATCGTCAGAATCATACAGAATTCATATCTCAGACTACATTGTAAAGTGGCGTATGGAGGACAGTTGACAGATGCATTCCAATTAGGGATTGAAGTCAGACAAGGCTGCTTACTGTCCCCCTTTCTCTTTCTTTTGGTGTTTGGCTGGATTATGAAGACCTCGATATCTGACGGGAGGCATGAAACACAATAGATAGCTTGGATACAGTTGAACAATTTGGACTTCCCAGATAACCTGGTCATTCTATCGTATACACATCAACAAATGCAAGTGAAGACAAGAAGTGTAGCAGTAGCCTGTGTATCAGTAGCCCTCAACACACACAAGAAAAAAGCAAGACCCTCAAATATGACACAGAGAACACCAACCCAACCATACTTGATAGAGAGGTCTTGGAAGAGATGAAAACTTTCACGTACCTGGACAGCATCATCGATGAACAAGAAGGATCTGGTGAAGATGTGAAGGCAAGGATTGATAAAGCATGGACAGCATTTCTACAATCGGACAATAAGTATTTATAAATGACTGTGTACGAAAGATACTCAATATCCGTTGGCTGGATATCATCAGCAACAGCCTGCTGTGGGAACAAACAAACCAGCTTACAGCTGAAGAGAAAATTAGGAAACGTTTCTGGGGGTAGATAGGACAAACATTGTGGAAATCAATAAGCTGCAAGACGAAGCAAGCCCTAACTTGAAATCTAAAAGGCAAGAAAGACGCAGAAAAAAGTAAACGTTGAGCCAGGAATCGAGGACAAATATGAAAAGAATAAATTTCAACTGGGAAGGATTGGCCAAAAATGAGTTCGAAGGACAATGCTGGAGTAACACTTGTAAGTGAGTTACTCACTTATATTAACATATGTCACTACCTATTTATTTGTTTTTATTCAACTCAAATACTAACTTAAAATTCGATGAGAACGTATGAATATTTCTATCTATCTAATCTGTTATCGTATGTTTCATAAGTATTGTATAATATAATCACTATATCACGACCATACAACATAAGTTCAGTAATTGGACAGGGGTGTTCGTCCCCTATGTCGAATATCGGATTGTATAGATACTACTGAAAGTAACCATTATAATTCATTTAGCTTTCAATACGATAACATTCCTGATTTTATATTGATTTAATTTTATTGTTTATATATAGGCATGTGGAAATTCAAGTGATTTTACAGATAAATTAAACGTATCTCCTACACAGATCAAAAAATCGTGTCAATCCTGGTCGTAAGTGTGCTTTTACATTATAGTACATTATTTATTCGCAGTGTCCTTTTATTTTTTGTAACTGTGTAAGTTACTTCGTTGCCTTATTGTAGTTAAGAGTGGGAATACTATCTATCTGGGAATATAGGAAAATAATGAAGATGGAATTCATAATTTAAAGATGCTTTATGGATTATGTTTGGCACCTAATGGCTCCACTTAGGTCAATTTGTACTTTAGTAAAATAATTGCGTTTATTTTATGAACGTTGCAGATGCATATTTCTCACTGATATGCTACAGTGGAAATGTAAAACCTAAGGTCAGTTATCCAAAATTCTGTTGCACATGTTAGCTTCCGAATTACTCTTTGACAGGTATTGGTTAATTATATTATATCCCAAGCAGAAGTTGTGGAACACATGTGTCTCATTTTGAGAGTAATTAAATTAGATAAAAGGAAAGACTGACTGATAAATGAATGAAATACGATTCGAATTCTGTTAGCAGTCAAACCGAGAAGCATTGTCCATGAGTTATCAGCCTTTATTTATTTGTTTAATACACAAAAATGCACCGAAATAAATATGCACCATACAAATAAAGGAACGAAATAGCGTAGATATAGAAGAACGAGGGAGTACAATAAAAAAAATAAGTCAATAAAAATAAGTGAACGAGAGTAGTATGTAGTGGGAGAAACAGTTTAGTTAAAATAAAGTCGAAAAGAGTTCTTTCAGCTAATGAAGTTCCTTTCGTTTTTCATGAAGAATGTAAAAGAAAACCAATGTAAACCTCCATTGACCTTTGTTATGAGCTATGATCGATAAAGTTTCACATCACTGAGCTGTCTCTAGAACCCGGATCAAACAGTTTCTATGATCTGAAAGGTGCCAGTTTTGTTTCGCTCTCTTCCAAACCACGGTAACGTCTCATCGATTGATCAGATAATTGTTTCTTCCCCACCATTCTAGAGTAGGTAATCAATATCACACGCAAAACTCTCTAAGGTGACATTCGTAGCACTTGCCTAAACTACCTAAGGTGTTTCAAGGTTAAGAAACTAATTGATTTGTAGTTACTGAATAAGAAAACACATTGTTAAACCTCAGTATCACTAATATAGAATTGTCACTGAATGTTAGCAACTCTTCAGCGACAACGAATAGGAGATACAGTGAGCTGACAAACATTTTCAACTCGGGTAAGCCAGGTTGTCAACATAGTAACCCATAAGTCATTAATTTAGATCTTACTTCAACCGGAATTCACATTTTCAACATTATGTTTGTATTAAAAAATAAGTGTAAAAAGATAAATCATAAATTTTTACTGTATTTTAATTTTCATAGGTTTCTACCAGAAATTAACCAACCTATTTCTAATCATCAAGATAAATGGGTCACTTTAGACAAAAACTTCGTTACAATATTAGTAACAAATCACTCTCATATAACATCTAGTACCGTAATGTATCCGGATGCTCATATCAGTGACCCATATTTAACTTCATTAATTCTGCATGAAAACACAACAAGGTTGGTATATACAAATTGTTTTATGAATAGATTCTTATGAATTATATATCGTTTACGTCCATATAAAATCTAAATTATATGCATTTATACAAACTATATTATATACGAATATCAAAAAAGCATATCCAATACTTCTACAATACTGTTTTAATTTGTTTATGAACTTAATACTGGAAACAATCTTAAATAGTTCTAATAGCCGGAACAGTTTTATAATTTAAAAATTCTAAATAGTGTACTTCATGAAAAGTGTATCTTGAAATTAATTCTATTTAATCATCTGTATACTTTTGTATGTTTTTTTTGCAACTGTACCTTAATTATTTTTTTGTTTCAAAAAAAGATACGATCTAAAAATAGAATCAATTAATACTGCCTAATATCTAAAATTGACAATTCAGTAATATTATAAATATTCTGTGAAAAAAGCAAACATTTCAAGAATTTAAAGCAATTAGTACATTTTATAAATTTAGATAGAACATTATTTACAAATTAATATTTATTAAGAACATTTTTTTCTAAACATTTCCAATGCTCACTGAAGTTTACACTGAAATGTTTTAGCATCAAAGTATACTATAACTCTTGAACTTTGAATTTTAATTACTAAGCTAACATTAAAAAATCAAAATCATTTGTATTCTCTTCAATTATATATTAATTATCAATGTGGAGTCGTGGAGATTATTGATTTTTTATTGGGATCATTAATAGATCAATATCTGACTTCTATTGGAAACCTGAAGAAACACTGAACGGCCGTTTCTTCCTAGTATGGGACCACTCACCAGTGCGCACCCACGATTGCGCACGCAGAATTCGAACTCAAGATCTTCGTTCCCACTCGTAAACGCTTAAACTCTACACCACTGAGCCGGCATCCCATGGTGTTAATGTCTAACTTCAGCCAAACCACAAAATTACGCGACCAACTTCCACTGTCTGAGGTAAATAGCTGTCCTTATCTAACACGAATTAGCTTCACTGGTCATGGCTTCTCACCAGAACCCGGAGAATTACCTCACGAAGCTAGTTACTAGTGAGCACATGATAATTATCAGTATAGGGTTGTGGAGATTGTTGAATCTTTTGATTGAGATCATGAATATATTAATTGTCAGTTAATGAATGTAGAACTATATGTCTTAAAACTATCCTGACACTAAAAAGATGTAAAAGCCGAGCTTAATAATAACTGAAATAGGATAAACGTGATTTGTATCATTAGAGGTGCACTTTTTATGATTTTGTTTTCTGTTGTTTTAAAAATTATATTTCCACAATTAGTTTTATATGTTTATCTTAATGATCCAAAAATGTAACTTAATGTATCTGAAATTTCTTTTAAAATAGCATGTGATAACGAATTATTTTTGTTAAATACAGTAGTTAAATTTCTTTTTCAATATTACATAACTAAGAAGTCATGCAAACTACCAGAACATTCGGTCCTTCATGTTTTCCTACATCCATCTACTGCTCTAATTTTGTCTGTTTTAAATTTGTGTTAATAAATTAATTAAGTCTCTTAACTGCGTGTATTTACTCATTTTCATAACATGTTTTAAATCTATAGCTTATCTAATTATTGAGAAACTGAAGGAACGCAACGATGGTAGTTCATAGAATCCCACTGAATGTATTCGATAATATAAAAGGTGTCATAGGAGCACGACTTACTTTAAACATTTACGAATAAATGAAAATAACAGAGTATTAGGGTTTAAAAACGTTTTGAATATCCACAAATTTAGTGCTTATAAAGTGAAAATTTGTCAAAAACTTGTTTATTTAGTACTCAGAATTCTTTACTGTAATCACATAGTTGATATTGAATAAAACGAATATTATATTTAGTTTGATTCGCATTTTGAAGTCATAAAATAACTAAACATTTAAACATTCTACAAAATCCTTGTTTTGTAATCTCCCCATGAAACAATATATTTCATATTGACATTAGTTTTAGTTCATTCTATTTTTGAATGGTAAAATAATCATACAATTACCTAAAATGTTGCAAATTCTGTTTTATAATATTATTCACAATATAAGATATTAGTTATTTTGCAGTAAAGCAATTCACTATTATATTTGGTTCACGATGAGAAATTTACTTCAGCCGAATTGTTTATGAATACTAATTTAACCTTGTAAATTAACATCAGCTGAGTAACTATATAAGACAAGGAAATTCAAGAAAATGGTTTTGTGTTAGTGAAACACTCTTTAAAAATACATTTGTTTATATAAGGAGATTTAGAATTGTCCTAGAAAGTCATGAAATCAATAAGGCATACTAAACAAGTCAAGTATCGATGAACATTCCAAATAAAATTTGGACAGTAACACCATAACAAATCTTTCATGTAAGGTATTGGTTTCATAACGCATGCGTTAGGTCAAATTTATATTTTTATTTTATTTTATTTTTACAAAATTATATTTTAGACTTAATTTGTTAGCTTTGGGACGAGCAATGTCAAATGGTCAAGGCCTACAATCAACATCAAACATGGATATTGTAAAAATTTTTGCTCTACGAATAGAACCGTATTCTAAAGATTCAGTCATCACAATGCTGGACGGAGAGCTCATGCCTTCAGGCACATTTCAAGCAGAAGTTATCCCAGGAATTTTAAATGTTATTTCAGGTACCAAGGTTGTATGAACTCCATATTATTTCAGGTAATACTTATTACTGCTATAAGAAACTTGTCGTTTAGCCTGTAATTATATGTTGATTTATGAATATATGATTTTATGACAAAAGATTAGGTAGAGACTTATGCTGTCTTCAATCAGTTAACTATTAAAAATAAACACTGAAATTGTGGAAGTTATTTTCCAAAATATAAAAAAACTAAACGTTCGAAGTATTCAAAGAATAATAAAAGTAGCATTAGCATATTGATTTCGGTACTGAAGCCTACTGAAGTAACCGATCTTCTTCCAATACTCTTAAAAGTCCTAACATTTTAAATGAACAATTGAGGATTGATGTTTCACATAATATCATCAAATGTCTGCAGAACTACAGTTTTCCTTTAGTACTGAATTTGCAATTTTAAAAAATAAACAAATAGAGGTTATTTGTCATTCTTCTCTTGTTTATTTGCTACTACTTCAGGTAAAATGTTATATAATGACATTTAGTTCTAAATTTTATTTATAACTTAATTCTTGGTTCAGCAGACCAAAGGCCAATACGACAAAGTACTCTCATTCTCCCTTACGCATATTAAAATTATTGAAAGATTATTCACAGTAATTACAGTGTGTTGTATTATGTCCGATTTTAAAAATGAATATAATATTTCATTTTGGTAATTAAAAACAGAATTACATAGTGAAGAATTGTGTATACGAATAGAAAATTGCTGATTTCAATACTGGATCCAATAGACATTTCCTACTCCTTTGAAGGATCATAAACATTAAAAAACATATTGTTTGATTTTGATCATTTGAAGCATACATGAAATATTTGCTCTTAACTATGCTATACTGATCAACGAAAATCCGTTACTAAGGGTACAGTACCACTAAAAATAGGAAATAACACTGACTGAACAGAAAAGCATTTCAAATGCTTACTTATTCTAAGGCAATTTATACTTGAATCATAAACTGATAGCAAATTGTTTCGCGCTCATTCAAAGTTAGCACTCGAATGAATTACGTTGTGAATGGTATAGTGAGTAGAAAATAACATTTAAGCATACGGACGAGTGAATAACAATTTTTATAGATATGCTCTGAAAAAAACAGAACTTTTGATAAAAAATAACTTTCATATTTTAAATCATGTTTTGCATACATCGTTGCTTGCATACAATTAGTTTAATTTCAAGACAATTTCTTTTATTACACTTGGTATCGTTTACTTGAATCTTCCCATCGATGTTTAGAACTGTCATTGATCAGTCTCTTATTGGCATATGTTCATACTGTACATATTGCCTTGATAATGCCTTAATTCACAAGCATTCTAAGTAAAGATGGATAGTGGCTAGCAAAGGAATCCAAAACATGAATTTCATCCTATTTAGGACTTGTCAACTGGATGAACCTTCATCCTAGAGTTGTTATTTGAAATAAACAATATTGGGTTCAAGTCCCAGAGTGAATAACAAATCTGAGATACAAGTACATCCAGCTAACGAGTTTCAGTTAGGATGAAACTCCTTTCCTGGATTCCACTGAGAGTCACTATCCATTTTTACCTACGATTTTTTTAAAATTTTTTAAATAATCTAAAATTAATTATGTATTTTACATTTTTATTTTATTTCGCAGAATTTCATTTTACTTATTTGAAACAAATCAGAACTTAATCAACGACTTATTTTTCTTTTCTAACTAAAACAAAACAAAAAAATATCTTTTTCTTTTAAGTTTATACGTTTTTTTTCACACTATTGAATATTGTTCATTTCAATGTTGTTGTTGTTGTTCTTTTTTTATCAATGCTTGGCAGAGTTTTAAATTTTCTCTATTTTAATGAATTAAAACAAAATAATAGAAAATTGGTTTTTTAATTTTGTTTTTCTGATGGCTATTACAAATTTTGTTTTTATTTTTTTTTTTTTTTTGTAAAAACTTAAATTTTAAAAAAATTAATTATTTAATATCAGATGGGTTTTGTGGATATTACAGTAATTTCAATGGTTAAGATCACGAGTCAGTTGAGGCTAGACCACCATGGAAAACCGTCCAGTGCTTCCGGGTTTTCCATGGTGGTCTAGCTTCGACTTACTCATGATCTCAACTATTGAAATTATTTATTTGTAAATTAATATTTTGAAGATATTTACTGATATTTACTACTTGTTTATCATAAGTAATTTAAAGTTTGAAAAAAATGTTTAAGAGTTAAATAAATAAAAAAGTTATACATTTGACAAGTGATTGATTAATATCTTGTTTGTTTAATCTTTTAATATGGACTGAATTCTATCAGATAAACTGTAATGTAATTACAGGCTCAATGGACTCTCGTTTACACTGTGATCGATAGAATTTGATTAAAAAAATAAAAGATAAAATGTATATGTTATTGCTTAACGAATTTTTAATTTTTCAAAAATACAAGAGATCAGTTATTCCATGAAAGTCCTACACTACACAAATGGATGAACTAGGTTAAAATCCCATAGAAAACAAAAATTCATTCAGGATTATAAGCAAGCCTTATTATGGAGTGCCAACTAGTATGAAACAGATTTTTATCTCCAAACACCTCCAACTGTCCAATATATATATTTGATTTGATAAAAATGTTATATGTATAACTAAGAACCGTATTTCTATTTCTCAACTGAAAATTTCAATCCACTGCGAATTCGAAGTTACTTGAATTGTAGGCATTTATATTATAATGGTCAATGATTATAAAATAATAGTTTCTGGTTGAATCGAACTAAATCGATTTTGGAAAGTATGGTAAATAATTATATTTTAGATGATTGATTAAAAGCAATATTATCAAGACACGCCCACTTTTTAACTATTTTTATTCAATGAAGTTATACTAATGAATGATCTAGACTATTGCAATTCAACTTGAGAATTTTGAATGGCATTCTACGTTCGACGGTGAATTGAAACTTAAAAATTTATAAATCATCACAGAACATTTCTCCATTCTATCTTGGCTTTCAATGTTTCTCTTTTCAACTCTATTAATATATATAAATATACTACAGTATCTATAATTAAACAATGAAGTCGTTTGTTTGCGAATTGTTAAAATGATATAATTCAATTTCAAGATATCTATAATAAATAATTGATTTTTGGACTTTGTTAAGCGGTAAAAAGTATTCAAAATGGTGCCATCTTTATGACACAAGAAAACAATATTTAAAAAAAAAGTTATACACAACGTACAAATGGATTATATTTCTCAAGTTTCAATCGAAATGAACAGCAAAAAGAAGTTCAAATAAATAATAAACAATAAACTTTGTGAAATGATTATAAAAAGATAGAAGAATTTTGATTCACATAACGTTGACAAAAAATTCAGATCTTGGTAACCATAGTATTTTGTTTGTTTTTTTAATGTCATATATCACACCACTTAACTGTTATGTAGTTATGAAAGTTAACAATAACATTTAAAAATGCATACGAATACTGTCAGAGTAATATAAACATATCAAGATGTATATTTCATTAGCATAAAATTACTTAGTTGTACCAATGATTATGATTATTCGTATAGTCAGATGTGGTACGATTTTTATTTTATATGGATGAAGTAATAAACGATTGAATTTAAAGAATTCAAACATGAGAACTGATATATATATTTTTTGAAGTTGTTAACAGTTATCTGTTAGTTGTATTCATTACTGAATATCCGTTATTGGGAAAGTGATAGTCTGTTTAAAACAAAACATTAAGTGTTTTGATTACAAAAAAAGAAAGAAAAGCTTAAGCGAAAGAGTTTTGTTTTACTAAACTTTTAAATAGGCTCCCCCAAAGGAAAATTACTCAAATTCTGGGATTATTATTATTTAAATAAAATTATCATCAATAATTGTTGCAATTAATGTATATTTTCAGTCACAGATTTTGAACGAACGATATTCAATGTAAGAAATCATTTTCATCTTTCATTCTATATAGTCAAGTTTTGTCGACAAATATACAACTATACTACTCATTTAAAATATTGTGATAAGATTATATTATTCACCAAAGCAAGTAGTAAAGAGGCCACAGGTTTTAAGTATTTGTTTTTTACCAGACAAGGAAGAATACATGGGTTATGATATCGAAATCTATGCTCATAAAGTTACAATAAGGTCAAATGTATCATATGTATATATAATGATTCTCGAATGTACCAAAAACTTAGACTATTTGTTTGTTTAATTCACTTGATATTGTTTTATTTGAATCTTCCCATGGATGTTTTTGGACTGAAATTGATCAGTCTCGTATTGGAATATGTGCGTACTGTGCGTATGCCTCGATATTGCCTTAATTTACAAGCATTGTAAGCAAAGATGGATAGTGAGTAGCAGTGGGATGCAGTTTGACGCGCGTTTCGTCCTGTTTGGGACTCGTCAGCTGGATGTACCTGCATCTGAGTTGATGTTCACTCTGGGACTCGAACTCAGTACCGTTCGCTTCAAACGCCATCGCGTTATCAAGTGAATTAAACTTCAACCCATTGCACAAGCAAGTGGCTATCAGGACTCAGTAACTAAGTGGATAACGCGATGGCGTTTGAAGCGAACGGTACTGAGTTCGAGTCCCAGAGTGAACATCAACTCTGAGATCCAGGTACATCCAGCTGACGAGTCCCAAACAGGACGAAACGCGCGTCCTGGATTCCACTGCTAGCCACTATCCATCTTTGCTTGCAATATTTGTTTGTTTGTTTTAAAAACATATCTTTACAAATATTCATTGTATAAATCAACAAAACAAAATAGATCATTTTAAAATGATGGTCAATTCAAACGGTATGACTTTGTTATACATAAACCTTATATATTGTTTGTTGATAACTGAAATAAATAAAATCGTATTTAACAGACAGAATGACCTTATAACAATCAACATTATTTTCTTTCTATCAACAAAACATAAATTTAAAAATGAAACCATGAGCCATTTTCGATTGATTAAAATTTCAATAAATTTTCAACGGTAAATGAGATAGCCAAAAGTAACTGTACTTAAATAATGGAATTACATCTTTAAGTGTTGCCAATAGAGATATGAAATTTAGTTTTTGACTAAATATTGATTATTCTTAAATGTCAGAAAGATGATGAATATGATCTCAACAGACCTGTTGCCAGTTAAATCAACCTTATTCAAATAACACTGAAATGAATGAAGTGATTAGTACACTTATGATCATTATAAGCAACCTAGTACGTGCATATATTTTGACTAAATACTTTTGTAAAGCTGTTACGTAGTAGTTCTCAGTTATTAAACTTTTATATATTTAAATAAGCTCCCATGTCCACAGAAATGATCATGAAATCAAGAAATTGATAATTAATAGGTGATCACTTCTTCCTAACCACTTATTAAGGTTTATTCATTTTATTTACAGATGATGGTTGAAATATAGATTTAGATAGCAGAATAATATCCATTAATGGACTTGACACTAGGATTTAATGGTCTGTTGTTAAATCCATGTGACCTAATTAATTGTTATGTATTGATCTCACTTCGATAATGACCGAAGTATTAGTATCTTCAGTTATCAATCGAGCATAAAAATAATCTACAAACCTCAAGGAATAACAGTTGTTTATTTCAGAATATGAAACGTCTTTATTAACTTATTAACTTGTTCTTAAACCTCTGTCTAAGTAGTTTTCAATTTTCTAGTTTATTTTTGGACTTATTTAGTTCTCTTTAAAGATAGTCGGCTATACGGACATTCGAAAATATCATGATGTTTAATGACAAGAATTTTGAGTTATGGTAAAATCTATTCAAAAGACAACCTGCAAGTTCGCCGGTGAGGATAAACTCCACTCTCGATCAAAATTTTCACATTGCACCCAGCAACCAATCATAGTGAAGTCGTAATCTATGAAGCATGATGTGTTTCGTCCTCTGTTATCTTTTCTGGCTTACATAAAAATGTAAAGATTCCCACGAAGAAAGTACCATTCCATCATGCTACGGATGTGTCAAGTGTAAAGCACTCAGTTATGATGGAAGAAATAACAACCTTTATTACTGACGACGATACACTTTGATAACCTGACAAAGTGCAGCTTATCCTCAGCTGAATTCGCTACACGTAATATTATTTTTGAATAAACGCAAATTACCATGAGAACGAAAGTATAATTTGAAGATGAACAAATTAGAACTTTCAAATTGTGTAACACGTATATATGATGTGAACAATAATAATGTATCATGAAGAAGACTTATGGAAGTCAAACTTTTATCATGCTCCCTATCTATCAGTCAGTATCAACTTCTTACAAATTATAAATACACAGGTGAAACTCAACAAATGTCAGTGGAGCTACCTACAGAGTCGTTTCTCTACATTGTGATTTAATTCGCTACACAAAAATCATTTTACATTGACAGACGAGGAGATTAACTTATATGAACTGATCAATTTTTTATTAGTCAAGGTACAGTTTCATAGACTCTAGGCTGTAAAGCAACATTGATTTAGAAATTACTTCATATAAACTTAAAAATGGTATAAGAATTGAATAGATAAAAATTAGTTTCGTATGTAATCTCAACTGAATTCCAAAATTCAGGTTGATAATAAGTAAATAAGTTGTGAACTGATTTGTGTGATATAAAAACTGGCTTATCTGTA